ATCTGTTTGGCCCCCATTAAATTCCATTCCATTACATTAAATCTTTTTCTCTCTTCATTACAACCACACATTCATCAAATAAAATAATATTACACACAAATCTAAAACTTTTCACTACTTTTCCACCACACATTCTCCCATCAATCACTATTCCAAAAATTTTCAACCATAAAAATTGCACAATAATGAGGGCCAAACAGGGGCTTAGTCATATTAAGACATTATATGAAGTGATAATATGCTTTCTATTTTAGGGTCGGAACCTTCAATTGAAGTATGGGATCTACGTGAATCTACTCCAAGAAGGAAGATGCTTATTCAATCTCCTTGTCCTTGAAAATTCATTTAGAAAATGAAGAGGCACCATCATATAAATTACAAAAAGTTTCAATTAGAATAGAAACTTGCATGAATTTATTAGTGAGCACCTATTAGTGCACTTTCCTGGAAAGTGCCTTGCCCAAGGCAAAGAGTTCACAGTTTGAATGGGAAGGGCCTTAATCTCACAAAAAAATTCGTTTAGGAATTATTTCTTACAAATATAAATTTCATATAAGTGCATTCTTGGGATGGGTCTGGTGTATTTTTAGGAAGGCATAAATTTCATTATGGGTCCCCAGCCTTTTCGTTTTGTAGCAATTTCATCTCCATTGAATTTTTATCACTCATCTCATCCTCAACCATTCATTTATTTGGACATATTGTACCTATTAATGATTTTCATCCATTTTTACTTTTAATGTCCAGCAAAAGAACAATTCTATCCTAAAACTTTAAAGAAATAAAAAATTCATAAAAATTAAAAAGATAAATCGAAAGGACAATAATAATAATAATAATAATCCTCCCTGACGCCACTTCCCTATCCAAACCCACCCTCAAGTACCCAAACCCTTCTACCTCAGCTCCAGTACAATTTTTGACACTAGTATGAAGGAGCTTTGGTGGTGAATGCGAGTCACATTACGACATTGTATGCAGTGATAATATGCTTTTGGGGCAGGACGTTCAATTGAAGTATGGGATCTACGCGAATCTACTCTAAGTAGGAAGATGATTATTCATTCTCCTTGTCCTCGAAAATTCATTTAGAAAATGAAGACCAACTCCATATTGCAACTGCATATTTACCAAAGACCATG